TGATGTTGTCTGAGGTGTTGCCATCGCCTGATCACACGCAATTCGTGTGAATGGAATAGCGGTGCTGTCTTCAGCTGCAAATCAGCATTGGTAAAGCTCTGGCTCGATCTGCAATGCAGAGAGTTTTTAGGGGTGGCCTCCTGAGTGCGATGCACTCTGAATGTTTCGAGCATAATGCTAGCGTGGCATATGCAAAAGTCACTTTCAAGATGGCTCAAGTGATACAAAGTAGAGTGCGCAGTTGCCTTCGTATAGCGGATTCTAGTGTAACAGTGTCCTACCTGCCGGGCATGTAACATCATAGAAATTGAACATTGGTCTGTCTACGAACTAGTGCGTCACACTCTCGTAGCTGTTCTAAGATTGAGGTTCTATATTTTTTGAATGCTAATAGCGCTTCTGCAAGCCTGTCTTATGGCCCGGCATGGCTTCAGTTCGCTGCTTTCGCTGGCTGTCCCAGGCGTCACGTACAACAGGTTTGATCCTCAAGGAATATCTCCATCCAGAGATCGAAGAGCTGGCTGAAGAGTTGACTGGTGCGTTCGATCGCTGCTGTTGTAAATGATTGCATTTAAAATCTGTGATACATCATCACGATATGTACGATTACTGGCTTCTTGCGATGCGTCGTCAAGACTAATTATTTAAACATCTTATAACTTATGACTTGATTAGCATAATGTCTTGAGTGACTACAAAGTTAAAACTAAATGAGTCCCGATTGCGTTTTCCAAAGTTGTTAATGCTGGTAAGATTATATATTATTTTTTGATAACGTCGAAACCTGTTTCTATCCATGCAACAAGTTCAGCTGAGAAGTTGTCTTAAATTACTTCCATTTGTGCCAATTTTATGACGCATTTCGATTATACGGTTTAAAATAAATGTTAATACCAAAAAATATAAAATTGGCTTTAAAAACGCCGCATTTTGAATTGCCATATAATTGTTTATGGAAACTGGCAGCCTTTTTGTTCGGCTAATCAGTGATGTTTCTGGTGTGTTTGTACTGGGTGCCAGAATGCTCCCCAAATTTTGCTTTTGTTATACATAAGCACGACAGACTATATAGTATCATATTTAACCCATCTATCGTGTTGGTAGGTGTTAGTATCCGTATCGCTTGGGCGTAATGGCCCTACGGCTTCAGATGGTCATAGTTCTGAGTAAGTGTTTGCGAGTGCGGTCCTCTCGCGCATTATCACCTCAAAGACAATTATGAATTCAGTCGATCTATGTGGGCATAAAAAGGTGGTAGACCGGCAAGTAGGCTAGGTACGTTCGAATACGCAATGCCTGCTCTCGAATATTTCACTTAGGCTACCCATGCTTTTCTGGTCGTATTGTGATTTGATAGGGTAATACTGGGCGGGACCTTTTAGGCGCGTTATGCTCTCAAAGGCACGATATTCGGTCGATGCTATATGTTAAAGACGTGAGGAGCCGGTCAGCAGTAGGTGGGTGATCTTACATCCGGATCTCAATACAGTTACTTCACTAACGCAGCTAATGAAAGATGGGTGTCGTAAAGCCGAAGATTAGGTTTGTGTAGAAGCGTACATTGCCGTAAGTACAACGCGCATTACACCTAGAACACGCTGAATCGAAATAAGCCGAGCATGTTAGTGAGTAGGCCTATACATGCGTAAATGAGCGAGTACAAGTACCGAATTCAACAGGGAGATCAGATAGATTAGTTGACATTAGAGATAATGTAAAAGGGCAACTTTACATCAGAACGTAAGCGTGACTGTAAGAGCATGACGGCTCGCCACTACAAACTTGGTACACAACCATCAGAAGTACGTAAATACTGAAGACAGGCTGACAATTTTATAGCACCGCACGAACAAGTTATGTATTCATGTTACCGTATACATCATACAATAATAATCTTTTATTTTAAGCTTGGCTTTTTATGAAAAAACATATTTTTAGCGCTGAATCTGGTCGATAGATATTAGGTACGTAATAACTCTTAATTTTTCACAATAAAATATCTTCGCAGCAGTATTTGCGCGACCTGGCGCCTTGTATACAGTGCGATCACATCGCACTTCACACCCCGCACGGCACGGCACGCACGCACCACGCACGCCACACACACAGCACACCACACACACCACACACACCAACACACACACCCACAACACACCCCCTCCTTCCGCATTGCGCTAGTTTACGCGGTAGGATAGTTACTTGCTGCTCATATCACGCGACCAGAAGGATTTCTGGAAATCTACGCATAAGTCTTAAGCGGCGACACGCCATGCGATTTCGCTGGCCGATCATTCCGCGGGAAATATTCGCCCCGCATGGCGATTATTCTGTATCTTAGCTTTAAGCTGTAATTGTCTGAGTGTTGAGTTTTAATAAGCGCGCGTTGGTGTATTATTCGAAATTGTGCGGGGGGGGGGGGGGGGGGCGTATCGCGGCATACTGAGCGTGTTGTATATAGCTGGCTACTCGCGGGGCATATAGGTGGTAGGAAAGACTAATAGCTTCTGCTCGATAGTTGCTCTGATCTGGTGGTAGCTTGCTTGAATGTTCCGCGACGGAGTTTGAGTGACATTTTCTAGAAATTCTACAATCTAGACAGCGTGCGTGTTGAGTTTAATCAAGCGTGGTTGGTTTAATTAGAGTCAACAATATACACGCACGGTTATTGCGGCATAGGCTATAATTATACGTGGGGCTATGCGTGGTAGAAAGTATACATAAAGCGCGGTAGTATTATGTGCAATTTTCTGACATTTGTGATTGCATTTGTACCTGCATGAGTCAAGTTTCTACAGTCATTCTGAGTTAATTTTGATTTAAGAGGAGTTTAAGAACTGGGCCTTTATACCATCTTCCTGTTTTGATTCTTATGTGGCAAGTTGTACACCAAACAAATTAAAGCTATACCGCAGCAGTGGCGATTAATGAGGGGTAGTGGATTGGGTGAGCTTGCCACCCGCTCCCCCTTCGGCTTGGAGTAAATATTACCGGACGGACGGACGATCAAGCGATTCTACAAGCTGAAAATACAAGAAATGTCAAATTTTAATAAATTTCCGCGCGGTGGCGCTATATACTATCCTGCTGCATTCGCGAATTTTCGAGGTTGTTTTTTGTAGCTGTGTTGTCCAATTACAGCAACAATAACTGAATTATTAGCTTCGAAGGAGACACGAAAGCGGCGTAGACCACTACCATATAGGTATAAAAAAAAGAAGTTAACAGCAATCCTAGCTGCTTATTTTTCCCGCATGCACTCAGTGTTTGTCGTTAGCACTCCCAGTCTCACTCTCAGCATGTCGCATCCAGCATGTTGCAGTCAGCATGACGCCACGACCATTTTTGGCCAAAAACAATTTAGGCAATTACAGAAAGGGCGAGTCTGTTTTTCTGTCTGTCAGTCCGTCTATCTTCTCTCCTCCCACCTAACAGGTCACCCCCAACACCATATATATTTTCAATCAGCATACATGCGTCTAAACAGAGGAATTGCTCCGACCTGTCATTGCAGATTGCATGATCAAAATACAATTCGTCACGTTTCGTTTCACCGGTCATAGCCGGTGACCTATGAGTAATTATATATTAATAGTAATTATATAGTACTACGAGTATAGTAGTGACCTAACATTAAGGCTAACACATGCCACATGATGTGTCTATAATAGCTATAATTTCTAACATGCTAACTGAAATCCTTCGCTCCATATTATAGTTAGTACACGTTCTTCCGCTATTATGCTATGACCGGTCCGGCGACTTTAATAAAAACCTTCAATCACAGGTCGGAGCAATTCCCATGTTTAGACGCATGTATCAGCATGACGCGATAACCATTTTAGGCCCAAAAACAATTTGCATCGCCAGGGGCATTGCCAGGGGGTCACCCATGAGGTATATTCTCAATCAGCATGACGTGACGACTATTTTAGGCCAAATTATTTTGGCCTTTTTGTGCAAATTATTGGGCAAAAAAACAAACAACACATTTCCCTCAAAAAAGTACTAGCGCAGCAAAAAAGTTAACAATCACAGCAATCCTAGCGCTCCACTATAGTATACACTGCAGCAGAAAAGTCAAGACGAATCCTAGCGCAGCAGAAAAGTAAATAGCAATCCTATCGCGCCCAACTATAGTCAGGCTCAAAATCAGGCAATCGCATGAAATGCCGAAACGCAAGCAATAGCAGAAAACGCATGAAATAGCAGAAAAGCAGTAACCCCCAAAAAATCCCGGGCATCGCCGGGTAGCCCAGCTAGTATGATATATATATACATGTATACATGTGCTTACATATCTACGAATCACGGTAATAATTGTATGGTGCATAGTCATCCAGGTTTGCCTGAAGAGCAGTAGACCAGTGTTCCTGAATGCCTAGAATCTGCTTAAAGTGATTATGTCACCGTAAATAGTAGAAGGAAAAAAATGATGTCCTGCTTTTTCACAAAATGTAAGAGATTCTGTTCACTTTTTATGGTTAAATTGCTGCATTATTACTTCCTATTTTGCTATTCCATTTGATGTGAACAAACACTCGTGACTCGATCATACATAGCCCATAGCAAACATCAATATTATCAATATATCAAATCGCCCAGATTTCTTGGATTTTTAACTAGTTGAAAAACAATCTTATCAGGTAAGAATTTGAGGATACATTTAGTGCTGTACGTTAGTAGGACCTACTTACAGTTCATGAAAAAAATTGCAACAAATATTTCACAAATATACACCATAGAAAATTCGTGACGTAGTCAATTTAATTGCATGTATTTTTGACCTGATTATATTTTTATTCAAGACAGGACACGCACGCTTGACACCATCAACAACGCTTATACCCACAGACGTTCATTATCTGACGTTATATATTCTCCCTGCTAGGTGTGTTAAAATGATATTGTAAGCGGGCAAAGCCCACACACTATGGAAAGCATGGGGCGATGCGGGAAAACGCAATCTTGGCGCCGCAGTGTCGGAAGAGGCAACAGGCCGAAGTTCTTGCCGAGTTCTTGCGCATTGTGACAGCCTAGACACTGACCAGATGATCTATGACATCAGGGCCAGAATCGGACCATGGAGTCACGCCAAGTGCGCACCGCGCACCCCCACCATATTCGGTACTGTAAGATAGCGGTTGAGATCCTCACTCCACCGTATTCGGGAAGGCCGGTTGGTCAGAAGGGGAGCTAAATGGGATCTGTGACGTAAGGGAAGAAACGCGATCGCGGACCGGGGCGCGCGGTATAAAAAGAGGAAGCTGGCGTTTGCTCGGGGCTTCTTGTGCCAGCCACCCGCTGAGAAAGCTAGGTGTAGTGTGTAGTAACGGCTCTTGCTTTGGGTAGTGCACGGAGACTTCATGTATTGTATCAGAGATTGAGTAAACAACAGTGACGTTGCTTCTTTTCTTGTTTGATCTCTATCAGTCTATTACAGACCTTCTACTACGGTAGTGCGAAGCACACGCCTACAATATGTTGTTATCTACCTCTAACTCAACATTCTTGTCACCTTATATCTGTCATCTTAGTTATCTATTAATTGTCTCTTCATAATCGTGTTTATATATGATATAATTTTTTGCCGTTAGCTGACAGTCTGGTCATATTCCCATGCGCGGCTGCCTGACTCTATCTAACCTAACTCTGAATTTAATGAAAAAATGCATTACAATTAAACACTCACTATTATATCGCCTACGCCTATCGCATACGACAACATGATACTTAGATTTGAAAAAAAATCCTGTATACCATGCAGCTGTTCATATTATCAGAATATGAAAAAGGAATCGTGATCCAGTCGAAGATAAAACATTATACTGAGATAAGATGTAGATAATGAAGGTGTATATAAGCTTCGTGACGAGGCAGGGTATATAGGCACTCGAGTTTCAGCATCAAACCCACCATGAAGCTTCTAGTTCTGCTAGCCGTCGTCTGCGCCGCCAGCGCCGCTGCCCCGAGGTGGCCACGACTTCCCAAAGGTATGTCTCGTGTTATAATTATATACGTAGTTAGTTTGTGGCTCTAGCTAAACTCATGAGCTTCCATTGCGTAGCTCATTTGTGTCATATTTTAGTTTCTAGACGGTTGTTGGATTGCATGATTTTATAAGTCATTTCTTTCATACAGTGTGAGATTGTACGATAAGTAGTCATATCAAGAGCGGAAACATCGCTGTCCGGTTTAGTGAGGAAAAATAAATATTAATAATATGATAGTAGAAAGCGAACGTTTCAAAGATTCCGAAAGCAATGTGACTCTCTGTTTTAGGATGGGTTCCCCCGGACACGAAGATTGTCGGCGGCGAGGATGTGGACATTAGGGATTACCCATACCAGGTAGGGCCTAATAGAGCCGAGTTGAGACCATATTATTATCTATATAGAACGTCAGCTTGGCCGTTCATAGTCGTATGACAAAACGCATTTGGAATATGTAAATAGTTTACATATATAATATAGCCTACTGGAAATGAAGTATGTTCTATATAGTTGTTTGTGCGGCATAGTATAAAGGTTTCTGATAAATGACAAGAATAGAATAAAACATTATGAAGAAACTATATTAGTCTGATATTTGAATCGTATTTTCAGGTTGCTATGTACTACCGTGGTTTCTTTAAATGTGGAGGCTCCATTATTGGTCCAAACACTATTCTGACTGCTGCTAACTGCATCTATGGGCGAGTTTTGTTCATTGCATCTGTTCCACGTTTTTATATTCACGCACATGCATGCACATACACACACCGATAGAAAAATTGAAGTTAACCATATTTGTCATAATTAATTAGTTTTCGATATATCGCTGAATTTCTACGCGTGGCCTAATTAAAGTATTATTTGCTAAACCATTGAATATATATATATATATATATATATATATATATAATATATATATTTATATATACAGAGAGAGAGCGGGGGAGAAAGAGCGAGAGAGAAAAAATGATAGAGACAGAGAGAGAGAGAAAGAGAGAGAGAGAGAGAGAGAGAGAGAGAGAGAGAGAGAGAGAGAGAGAGAGAGAGAGAGAGAGAGAGAGAGAGAGAGAGAGCGAGAGAGAGACACGAATTCACAACTAGGTAAAATCGTGTATGGACCAGCGACAAGTGTCATGTCGATTTTATTGATTGTTTCACACGATGAATTGCAGATTGGAAAATTTCCCCAGCCGTTTCTCTATCAAATATGGCGTCACCGATAAGACAAGTTCTGGAAAGACGGCAGGAGTAAGTAATGCACATACGCTAGTATAGCCAGAGTAAATCATATCGCTGCAGATGACGTGTGATTTTGTTCATAGTTTGTCATGGTTATATTCGAATGCAATCTTGCTCTGAACAAAAAGTGCTCTGTGTGAGCAGCACGTCTACTTCAGAACTTAACATGAAACCACACGACATATGAGAACTATTTCTCTCAGCGATATATAATGCAATAAGCAAACGTCAATTCTTGAATGTTCGTAGTCTATCTATCTCAAATCCGGTGTATTTTGTTTTTGAAGACGTGGATCGTACTTATATAGGATTATTTATATAAATTATATAAATATAGGTGAGCAAGATTAACGTCCACGATGAGTACAGCGGTGAATCTGTGACTAACGACATCGCTACCATGATTCTGAGCTCCACCATTGCATATTCTGAAACCGCCAGTGCCGTAATGTTGGCGGGAACAAACAGCGGAACTTACGCCGGAGAGGACGCCGTTGTATCTGGCTGGGGTTTAACCGAAGAAGGTAACGTATCGCAAGAACGCATCTTCCACGAGGAAAGCATAACATGTTATGGTCATACCATCACAGCGGTTAGAGATAGACGTCTTTAGTCTTGCATGTCGCAGAAAGAAGTATTTAATAGGATCTGCAGTCATTAAAAAAGATATGTGTTAATTAATCAATAATGTTTTGCGTTAATATTGCTCACAAAGAATTAACCGTGTAGACCAAGACAAAAACACACGTACGTTGGCTCATACGCGCGAGAACACACGTACATCCATACACGCTCTGGGCCATCAATGCACGTACGCACGCACATAACCGCATGCAGACAAATCCACATTCTCTTTCTTACTCAATCCCGCGTTCATTCTTCTTCAACATGAATTGNGAAGAAGAAGAGTAGAGTGAGAGAGAGAGAGAGAGAGAGAGAGAGAGAGAGAGAGAGAGAGCGAGAGAGCGACCGTGCGAGAATGCAATGAGAGAAATTGTTCGGATAAGAACGAGGAAGAGACTGAAATTCGATAGAAAATATCTCATATAAAATCGAGCCTTTCGTAAATCAATTCCCGCAATAATACCATGCATCTAGACGTTCATCGATCTGTGCTGATATCGATATGAAAATCAATCATAGTTACCGAGGAACTTCTCCTCTAGTTTCAGCTTCTCTAGTTGCGCTTCCAGAGCTTTTTGTTCTTCCTCCTTATGTATGCTCACCAGCTCCCCAAACTCCTTTCGGCAGAGTCTCTTAGCTCCAAGGTAGTCCGTCCGATTATCTACAGAACCATACATGATAGATAAATAGATAGATAGATAGGAGGATTTGCTGAGGGGACGAGGGGAGATGGGAGACTAAGGAAATTGCGGGATCAAAAAGCAGAAGATAGCTGGGGGCGGTAGAAGAAAGAGGGGGCTGAGCGAGGACAGAGGAGGCAGAAGGGAGAAGCGGAGGGCATAAAGTAGGTGTTTTTGTATCTCTACTGCTAGGGCGCCTTCAGCTAATTTATAACAAGGTCTATCTGATAAAGGTTTATTAGGGGAAATCTATGCTGAGATACTGCCCTAACCATTTTAATGAATATTCATCACAAATTATAACTGCTCTGGTGGATATTGCGCATCCGCTAACACCTAACGTAGCCAGATTGTGTACTGCGCTGGGTATAAGCGCAGCGGTGGACTACATGAAGTCTTCCTGCCGATTTTCGTAATGATGACTGGCTGATGGAATGTTATTATATAAATCTATGCTAGTGATAATCCTCTTTCATTTTAAATGCCATAATCTTTGGCAAAATACGATTCTCTCGGGAGATATTGCGCATGCGCGCGGGGCCAACTCGTGTTAGGCGTGCCAGTGGCCGTCGCGGCAAACTTTATATATAGCTTGCTGCGGGGGAGAGGTAGATGGGCGACTGAGGAAATGCGGCGGGAAAGATAGCTGGGCGGTAGAAGAAGAAGGCAGGCTGAGCGGGGTCAGGGAGGCAAGGGGGAAGACGCGAGGGCATAAAGTAGGTGTTTTTGTACCCTACATGCTAGGGCGCCGCTCTCCTAAATTATAAACAACAGGTGTACTGATTAAAGTTGATTAAGGAAATCTATACTGGATAACACGCGCTAATCATTTAAAATGCTATTCATCACAAATATAACTGCTCTGGTGAGATCTTGCGCATGCGCTTAAACACTAAGTAGCCGATTGTGTAACTGGCTGTATACGCAGCGAGGACGCCTACATGCAAGGTCTTCTCCTATTTCTTAAATGATGTCTACTGATGGATGTTCTCATATAAATACTTAATCGCTAGGATAACTCCTCTTCATTTTAAATGCAGAATCTTTTGCAAATACGCATTTCCCTCTCTGGTAATGATTGCGCATGCGCGCCAGTGCTAGGCGTGCAGTGCCGTCTAAGTACTACTTCATAATATAGCTTTGCGGAAGGGGAGACTGGATAGGGACTGAGGAAATGCGGTAGGAACAGACTAGCTGGGGGCGGTAGCAGAAGAAGGGGGCTGAGGCCGAGGGACAGGGGAAGCAAGGGAGGACGCGAAGGGCAATAAAGTAGGTGTTTTTGTAGCTCCTACTCTAGGCGCTGCTCCTAATTATAAACACGCGGTGTACTGATAAAAATTTATTAGGGCAAATCTATGCTGGAGCATACGCCTAACCATTTAAGCCACTATGCTATTCGATCACAAAATATAACTGCTCTGGTGAGATATTGCGCATGCGCTAACACACTAACGTAGCCAGATTGTG